CAAGGAAACTTTCACTTCTCAACAGCTATCCTGCCCAACTAGGCTCCAAAACCATCCGCAAGACCCTCAAGAACTCCGACCCCAGGCCCATCAGAATCACCACACCCTACCAAGGCCCTGTCACTCATCATATTTCCCGCCTCATCAAGAATAAAGCCAACATAGGTGTCACCTTCTCTAGAGGCAAGTATATCAAGACCAATCTACAAGCTAATGGCAGAGGCACAAGCAGCGCAAGTCCCAACCCCCGAGGATATATATACCAGATACCCTGCAACTGTGTCCACCAGTACATTGGAGAAACCCTTAGACCCATCAACGCAAGACTCAAAGACCATCGGACTCTGTTAACAAACTCGACCAGAAAGCCGCTATTTCCGAACACATCCTGAAGAACGAAGACCATAACATCATGTGGGAAGCCATCAAAGTCCTGTCTATCACCAACAACAACTGGCGACAAAGGAGATACCAGACAGCCATGAACTGTGACCAGAGAATCTATCAGTGCTAATTACACACACACACACACACACACACACACACACACCCACCCCCCCCCCCACCCCCCCCCCCCCCCCCCCCACCCCCCCACCTGCCAAAATGGCGGTCTCCACTTGATGGATAGTGTCCTCATTAATGGCTGAATGGGGGCGACCAGGAATCACTGCTCGGTATTCTACTGGCTCCATTGTCACACCCTACTCGATCATAACACCTGTAAAAAGTGGTAAGATTAATAGTTCGGTGCTGCAAATTCAGACATAACCCATAGATACATGTATCATTACACATGTGAAATTCACAACCAAATATGATAACCCTAAGTGGTTTAGGGGTATCTTTAATGAACACCCCTCGTACATATGTGTGATCTCTGCCTCGTGGCATTCATTCACCTGATGAAGGAGTAAGCATATACTCTGAAACGTTGTGTTCCTCATAATAAAGAAGTTGCCATCCATATATTCACTTCCTCAGAAAAACAGAGATAAATGGAAAGTGTACATCAGGTATACCATCGTACATGGATTAAAACGCTTATCTGTAAGTAAAATGTATTTTCCCATGAAATATGAATAATATATTACTTAAAAGAAGTAACGGTTAACGAAAACCTTTTATTTCATATAAAGTTGATCTAAAAAGGTTGTGGGCGTTCTTTATGTTTGTTTTGGTTTTTTTGGTGTTTAACGCCGTAGTAAGCAATATTCCGGGTATATGACGGCGGTCTGTAAATGATCAAGTCTGGACCAGACAATCCAGTGATTGACATCATGAGCATCGCTCCACGCAATTGGTTGGTTGGTTTGTTGTTTAACGCCGCACTCAGCAATATTCCAGCTACATAAATAATCGAGTCTGGACCAGACAATCCAGTGATTAATATCATGATCATCAATCCACGCAATTGGGATCGATGACATGCATCAACCAAGTCAGCGAGCCTGACCACCCGATCCCGTTAGTCGCCACTTACGACAAGCATAGTCGCCTTTTACGGCAAGCATGGGTTGCTGAAGACCCCGGATCTTTACGGTCGGGTGTTCTTTAACTGCTTTTGAGTAGTATGTGTACATGATCTTCAGTACCTAAGCAACTAGGAATAGAGACGCCGTGAACTTGAGCTGAGACATGAACATGAGAATCTCATTGGGAGATTACAAGCTGGAGCAACTCAGCATGAAGTGGCCAGGCACTTTGGCGTATCCAGACAGACAATCTCCGCACTGTGGACCCGATACAACAACACCAACAGAGTTGACGACAGACCAAGGTCAGGAAGACCAAGGGTGACAACCCAAGCACAAGATCGATACATACGGCTGCGACACCTCCGAGACCGCACTATCACAGCCACGTCTACAACCACACAGATCCCTGGGGTACGCAGAATATCAGATCAAACGGTACGCAACAGACTGAGGGAGGCTGGACTTTTTTACACGAAGACCTGTTCGACGTCATGTATCGACCCCACGTCATCTGGCGGACCGTCTGTTTTGGTGCCAACAGAGGGTTAGATGGGCATGTGCAAGGTGGAGAAATGTACTGTTTACTGACGAGTCCCGTTTCCTACTCACACGTGCTGATGGGCGCGCACGTGTCTACAGACGTCGGGGTGAACGTTACATCCCTAACTGTGTGCAGCAGGTTGTCCCATTTGGCGGCGGGAGTGTCATGGTATGGGCCGGAATTCATCACGGTGGTAGGACGCCTCTCGTGCATGTGGCAGGTGCATTGGCAGGTGTGCGTTACAGAGACTTGATCCTACAGCCTTACGTTCTTTCTCACGTCAACGTTCATGGCGGACAGTTCCAGCAGGACAACGCTTGACCGCATATTGCACGTGCTTGTCAGGACTTCTTACAGCACAACAACATCCAGACATTACCTTGGCTAGTCCGGTCACCAGATTTGTCCCCGATTGAGCATCGGTGGGACGAGTTGGATCGACACGTTCGCAGAAGGAATCCACCGCCCAAAACACTTCCGGCGCTTCTTGATGCACTTCAGCATGAATGGCAGCACATCCAACAGCGAGTTATTTACAACTTGATTGCATCTATGGGTCGTCGGTGTCAAGCGGTGATTGATGTACGTGGTGGGCACAACCGATACTGACATTTTCTGTACACCTGTGACATTAACTGTATCGTGTACGTGTGTCTGTCTAGGTGACACGATTAATGTTTTGAACATTGTGTACATTGATCTTCAAACAGTGTTTCAATTATGGTTTCTATGTCCTATTTTGAAACAATCGCATTATATTACATTTTGAATGTAAGTGTCAAGTATATTTCGCTTATGGACGTAAGTAGTGTGGCCCATGGGCGAGAATATTTTCCTTTGCTTGCTCAAAACTCATGTTTTTTGTTATGGAAATATATAAAGGTGTCTCTAGTAGCATCATGACTCATAATTCAACCCATTTAATTTAATCCATCTAATTTGTGGCGTTATTAAAATATTTCGCCCATGGATAATAATATGGAAATTTTAGCAATTTACTATCAGAACGAAATAAAGGCTTTTTGTTTAACTTTGCCTATGAATGTTTGCATACACGTTTACATAATATTTTGGAATCGAACTGTTACATACAAATAGCTACACCCCAAAAGATGAATAAAAGAAAATTAATGCACGTTGATATTGTTAAGGCATGATGAGCCTTAATAATTTCAAAATAGTCTCAAATGTCACCTTTTTTTTAGTTTTTGATTGATAATGATACTTGATAATAAATACAATATCACATATCATATCAAATATATCAAAAGATGAAAAGGTCCTCTGCAAGCATAAGAATTTTGTTACTTTAATCATATATTCATATCTTTGATAAGGGCGCCAAGTGATATTCTCTATTCTTACATACGTGTGTGTGAAAAAACAATTAAGATAAGTTGTATCAAAGATATGTGTGATATCGAATTCCAGGTCCATGATTGGTTTCTCCATAGTGATGACTTGATTGCAATTCATTGATACGTTACTCGTGCTACAGTCGAAATCACCTTGGTCAGTGTCGAAACTTTATGGTTTTAGGGGGCACTTTATGCATCACCAGGGCCTTGTTAATCAACACTTATGGCGGAAACGTTTTTGTGGACGGTCACACTAGGTACACTGCAGAGCAAAAGTCTTTTACTTTAAAAACTACTTTTTTGTAAAACGTTTGCGTTGCTGAGCGGCGACTTCGCAGAATGTTTGTCAAATTTCTGCATAGTTACGCAAACACACCACGGAGCTACTGCGGGACCAATTAGTTTTACATGTCCATGCCACTTGGTGACTGTTTTTCACTATTCATATTCTAATTCAGTTCATAATGCCACATCATTACAGTACTCCTTGAAACTTTAAAATTACTAAAAACGAGAACAAAAAATAACTTATATATAGATTATTCTCTCTTTTATCAGCCGCTACGTTTGTATCGGTTGCACTGTACAAAGAAGGATTTTGTCTGTCATCTTGCAGATTTAGACTCAGAATGTGCTCATTCTGATTAGGAACGAAAATGTATTATACAGTTAAAAGTTATACATGTACACTGTAATGGTCCAGGTCCAAAGGAAAAAAATGAAGAAAGAGTGCATAAGTGTTTGGATTTGGTAGAATACATGTAGGTTTGTTAAATATGACTATACAACGAATTTCAATTCTTACAAGTTTGAATTTATATATGTATACAATTCGTATATTAGTCATGATGAATGTGCATATTTATAAAGATTCCTAAATTTTAAACAAGCCATGCACACCCTTGTAAGGTTGTCATCAATTGTTACTTAAGTATCATTTAACACATTGATTCGGAATAAAACTTCTCAATTTTTTCAAAGTAAGTAACAATAACTTTTTATTTCGACAGGTGGTGGTCCATCACCATGCCCTACTTTGAGTGCCACGCCAGAGGTGATGTGGGATATTCTGGGACAAAATAATGTATCCATATCTTGAATATCATCAGCTATGGACACATCACTCCTACAGATGGCTAGCCTTTCTGACACAGTTAATGCAAGGTAATTCTACTGATGTATTCCCTTGACCTTGTATTAAGTATATTCATTCATATAGCATAACACTACTTAATGGAGTTGCTATGAAAACCTATTATGTTAGCAAAGTACCTCCTGTGCATACGTGGTCATACACATAACTATAAAAGCATCCATATTTAATGATGTAAAACTTCAACGCCACAGAATAACCAATCTTGATTATCCACCGAAACAAATCTTGCAAAGTGCAAGATGGTGGTGAAAAGTGAAAAGATCACTAAAAGTCAGTGATGACACCGTGTGTTCGCGGAAGATATTTCCTCATATCTTTACCCTATTCAGATACATAGATACTCAAAAATAACAATGACTAAAGATTTTTCTGTCCATTTAAATACAGTGAATACAGTGACATGGCAGCACTTGACATGCAGACACTCCAGACCATGGGAGGAGCTGTCCTACTGCATCGACAGTCTCTGTGCCTTTACACCCTGAACCATCAGTGCCAGATTCCGCCTCATCAACACAGGGATCCACGAAGAGACCTACAGGATGGAGCATTGTCCAGGATCCTGAGTCCTCGTGACAAACATTCCTGTTGGGTGAAGGTTATGATGAGTTACTATACAAAAAACTTAAATTTGAAATGTTTAAGCCTTAAGAAGAAAATCATGGAAAATCAGCTTCAGAAACTGCAGCATGAATAGAATTTATATTCATACCATGTATGAATATCATTTTTGATGGCCAGAGAGTTCACCATATTTTTCAAAATGTAATGTATTTCTTTGAAGAGACAGATATGAAACCTGGTTTTCAAAAGAACATTATTTTGACAGAACCATACTCCTTTTGATCAGTTTAAATTAATTTTTAATATGATAATATTTGCTAATGTGTGAGGTAACAGTGTGAAATGTCATTTATCAATAGATTCAATGATAACATGTCAGAATTTGAATATATATTTTCATTCAACCATATTCTCATGTTTTACTACTGCTTACAGTAACATTGCATTTGAGGGTTCAAAACCCTCATATTTTGGTGCCTATGACATGGTTAAAATCAATCAATTGTAATACCTTAGCTGACTCAGCTTATAAAGCACTTGTTCCAGTTAAGTATTTCATTCAGCAGTATTGTGTATCTGTGTTGATTTTTTTTATAAGAAAAATGTTCCCAGAATAGGGGGCATACAGTTCATGATAATGTCGAAATGATCCACAGAAGATTTTGTAAATTAATTTTAAGAATAGGGTGTTAGTCATCACATTGTGTTGCTTATGGCGAAACTCGATGATGTCCATTTGGGGGTGTCTATTTCACTAAGTGTAGAAAGTACTGGCTCCGTCTGTTGAGACTATCACCTGACAGGTATGTTTATCAGTACTATAAAAGGTTGTCATCTTTGGTGCCAAGGTTGAATATCTTATTCTGTGTAACTGTGTTTGATATGATGACAAACATGACCAGTTACTTCCAGGAAATTATGACATGTATTGCAGCATTGCTTCTCTGTGTACTTTATCTCAAACAAAACAATTTCAAAATTTGGTAAATTTCTAATATATGTATTCAAAATGCGGGGAGGATTTAAAGGTGTATAAGTCTCAACAATAATTTATTGAAGACTTTATGTATTATGGTTCATTTGTCTTTACTACAACAAAATCTGACTGGCATATAATGTTTCTTAAATGAAGATAAATGTATCAGCATCAGTTGACTGGGCAAATGCATTGCAAAAGAACACATGACCATGTTTAATGAACCTGGAGATTCAGAAATTATACATCATAATTTAATAATTACAGTAACAATGTCAATTTTAATGATCGGTTGTAATAAATTGTTTGTGAATTATAAAAAAGGAAAGCCTTGTCAGTTGTTTCTTATTTGTTACTCTTCTTTGTTAAAATAAACTGTGTTGTTTTCTGATACTTTTTGAATATAATTCCTTAAATAGTTGTTTTACTCAATTAAAAGATTCTGAAGAATAATCACTCACACTGAAAGTGAGTGTTTGCAAAGTGATTCCTGGAGGTCAAGGTGTGGCCAGAAATATCTCCTTCTCTGAATGGGGCTGTCATGCGGTCATTGGGAACAATGGAGTCACTATCTGGTAATGGGATATTCCTTATCTTGGAGATGTTATGCAGAATTCCACAACAAGTAATGATTTTACATGCTTTAATTGGAGAACCAGTTCAGAACTTGTCACACAGAGAGAGAGAGAGAGAGAGAGAGAGAGAGAGAGAGAGAGAGAGAGAGAGAGAGAGAGAGAGAGAGAGAGAGAGTCACAAACACAGAGTCACACACACACACATTTATAGAATTGTGTGTATTAGAGTCAACGTGTTCCATATGGAATTTTCACAAAATAATTTTTGTTATTTTACAAATTGAGTGAAAAATCTGTCTATTTTATTTACAATGATAATGAATTCCAAACATTTTTATGCTCTATTTCATCACTCAGTGATCGAACATGACAGGATTAAAAGAAAACGAAAGTATAACGAATGTATAAATATCTTATCCTATCCTAGCATAAGTAGTCAATTGTGAAGGGTCTAAGTCCTTTTGAACTCTAATAACGATAATCGATTATCCAGTCTGTTAACTGAATGGACAGATTTTTAGTCCCTTTATATAATGACTGAAATATCTAGGCCTTTATTAAATTGCCTAAGTGAATCACATTTAACACATTGACTGAAAGATATATATCTAATTACAGAGTCGGCCTAATTTACAGGTGATTCTACAATACTTGCTCTCTTTCAATAACAATCTGCCACACCACGCCTGAATAAACAGTTATGCGGGTGTTGCTGTGGGCAAATACCTAGCCTTTATACATGTTCATTTTTTTTGTAGATACATGTATTACGTATTTTCGTTAATTGTGGATATATTAAGCACAAAGTCATAAAAAGTTATGAAACATGAATTGGTGCCTTGATATACAACAAGAAAGAATATTGTTTTTTCTCCGCTACCCTGATGTGTTTCATCGTTTAATGTTCACTCTATACCATGTGTGTTTGGAAGCGATATCAAAGGCGCCGCCCAGTAGACACAGATTGTGTCGTTCGTTTCGCGTGAACTACCATCCGGCTTAGTCACCCTGTAGCTAAGAGTTATGTAATCGGTACACAAATAACTTCGTCAGTGTGGAAGGAGTTTGAATTACATCCGCCACTGGCCACAACAATCCTCACAGTATAAAAACATTCTACAAGGTCACTGCCGTTCGAATAACCTCGTGACGCACGTAACTCTCGTCGACAATGGCTGTCAAATCTGTCTGCTGCAGCTACCAAACAATCCTCCCTGTCACAAATGGCGTTGAACTGGCTTTTTAAAAATAGTAATAGTAAAAGCGTCGTTAACAGACTGACGTATGTCGTACAGAGTACTCTTATTTGATAAAAAATAAAACCGTAAGTTAGATAATTAGGAGATCAACTGGATATAACATTACTTATATCAAGTGACGGTCCTGTTTGTGAAAATATGCACTTTTAGAGACTAATAAAATCCATTTTAAGACCATATAGACAATAAAACCAAATAAAAAATGTCTTGGTATCATTTTGTGTGTATTAGTTGATGGTAATGATCTGAAATGTTATAACGTTAGATTAGAAAGGAAAAACGTAAATGTGTTTTATGATTCACGAAATTTGGGAACACCCAAACATCAGTCACTGACATGAGCAATAAGATTATAAGATTAAGCAACATTAACATGCATAAAAGGGTAAGGAGAAAATGGTTGAAGCAAATTGAAATAGATTTTAATAAGACATTATTGTACTAAACAAACTGCCTGTGCACAAGCGATCCCAAAACTTGTTTGACAGTTTTGTGTTGTATTGTAGACTGGCGTACAGCAAGTGATTTTCATGCTATACGTAGGCTTGCATATACATCTTACACATTCGGATATACCACCTGTATAAAGTATTATGAAGTTGAGAACTAAGATAGCGACCATTACCTGCATCCACTCACGGAAGCAATTATAATTCTTGCGTGTATGCTGTCTCCTCTGAAAATATGCTACACTAAATTATTTTATACTGTAGTAAATATGGTAATGAATAAAACTTGGTAACTCAAAGTTACTTGGTGTGCCACCGATAGATATGATTTTCAGTTTATTGACAGCTTGGAGTAATAGGGATTACGTACATGAAGTCATTTTGTCTCATTTTTCTGCTAAATAGAAATTTTAATTGTCATGATATAGCACAGCTGCTAAAATCTGGTAGTTTTTTTTATCGGGTAAGGAGAGTTGATTCGTCTAGTCATACAGTCATTCGTACCCGATCGAATGATTGGCACGAAACGTTCCGGTAGAGAGTTTATTCTTGTATTTTGTTATATACATGTATTGTTAATTGTAGTCGATACTTACATCACTGTATATTAGAACGCGGAACTGGCAACATCCAAACATGTACCTAGTACACAGAGAATTGTTACGTATCAATTCCTGTATATTCATACTTGAACCAAGAGCCTACATGTAAGCTGTAATCGGTGCAACTGCGTATCCACATGTACAGTCTCAGCAGTCTAACGTTACATCTCCCATCAAGTAAGCTGTATTTCTCAAGCATAATTTAACTTCCGGGGACATTTTGAATGAAAGGGGTTAAAAAGAAGTTCGTTGTATCGAAATAGGTCGTCTGCCAAAACTTTTGACTTTCGCGTTTTCAAAACTAAAGAGTCGTTTTTCGTTGCTAGTTATAGATCAGGGAAATAGAGAATACAACACTCATTCCTGTTAGATACCACTTTTACGAAACGAGTGGACTTTCTGTGTTAACTGACCTCGATTTCGCTCGGTCAGATAACATAGAAAGTTCACGAGTTTCGTAAAAATGGTATCTAACGAGAATGAGTGTGGTATTTTATTTATTACCCACGTTAAATATGTATGTAAGTTGACAGACCAAACTGAAACCGGTTGCAAAATCTGGTTGCGCATGAATATTGATTTATGCCCAAATATGGGCATTGCTTACATCCCTATGCATACGTATTAACAACACGCGCCTGCAGTTGTGTTTTCAAACATAACAGCACCGACGTTCAAGATCCTTTTGGAAGAATTTCTTCAACTTATGAGAATTCAAGCGCCATGTTGTTAGTACGCAGAACATCTATAAGAACATTTGAAAAGTCACATAAGCGCAGCGCTTTGAATATCGGACCAACAGTTTGTCACTCGCACTGCCGGGGTTTCGTCTGTACATTCAAAATGGTGCGGTTTCCTTGATCTATCAGCTGAATTTATATCATGTCCGTACCATTTTGGAAGAGGGAAATCAGAGTGTTCGCCAAAGACATTCATGTTTACTGAACCACCCTTTACTGAAGACGTGAAAATCAACACGCTCAAGTCTGCTTGCATGTCAGTGACAGCTTCGAACGAAGGGCATGGTCACCACCGGAATAAGAAAAGACAACCGTGATCTACTCAGCGTTTTACGTTTGTTCACCTTTGAGATATTTGGGGCCACATAATCAGAAATCAGGCACAATTTTACGGAGTATTCGAATGATTTGTATCGGAAA